TAATGTAATAAAATAGTTTAAAATTTATTTTTCTATTGGCATTAGCAGTATTTTGGTATTCCATTGAAATGTACTTTTAATTACTAATTTTTTTTTTTAAAAAAAAAAAAAAAAGAGAAGAGAGAGAGGGGGAAATCAATACTTTAATTTGGAGAAACGAAAATGATAAAATTGATATATTTTAATCAAATGGATAAAATATTTATTTATTAAAAAAGTGCAAAATTCTTTTATGTAAAATTGAAAGTACACTAAGCGTGACTGGTGTAAGTTGTTTCAAGTATTGTATTGATACGTAGAGTAATTGTGATTATTTATATTATATATACGGCTCATTCGATGATATATTTATTATTCTTTTCAAAAGTAAGAGGTTGTCATTTTAATTTATAAATTGAAGTCAAATTAAATAAGTGAACCTAAATATTAAAAAAAAAAAAAACCTATTTTTAATATATATTTTCTTCATTTCACATTAAATACATATATTTTTTTTTATTTCAGTCCGCTCTATATAATTTATTATTTCCTTTTTTAGAAATATGATAATATAGTTTATTTATACTTTAAATTTTAATAAACTATTTAATTATTTTAATTTTAATCTATAATTATTTTTATTAATATATAGATGTATGCGTATAAGGATTTGAACGGCGGATTGTCTCATTGTTTGATAATACTATCATATCAACTATCATCAATTTCAAATCTAGATGCATAAGTATCATATTTACAACATCTTCATCGCAATCCAAAGTGACATGTAAATTTTGTAGTGAAGCCATATATTGAAATCTCATTAAATTATTATTAATGTATTTCTATTATTGCTCTAGTTTTAGAAAAATATCCACCAACGAGCATCTGACTATATTGACATTACGTATAGGTCTTCGTCATTCTTACAAGCAAGAAGAATAGTAGATATACTTTATTCACCTGACATCTTTATATTACAGTAACAAAATCAACAAGCTATTAAAATACATTAATCCTAGAAATTATTTTAAAACAACACATAAATAGTATAAAAATTTACCAATAATTTAAGATTTAGAGTGTAGAGAGTACTCTATTGATGGGAGAAAAGCCATAAAGTAGTTCTGCAGTGCAGAAACCTCAGGCGAAACAACTACCAGCATGCGCAATTTTTGCTCGGCGGAAGTGTCCAAAGGTGATGAATTTTGTGTTGGTTTTTGTTTTTGGTTTTTTTTTTTATGTTTGTTTATATTTTGTATATTAAGGGCATTGACGAGCGGCTAAGGTGTTGAATTTTAAAATTTAGCACGGTGACAACGCACGGTATTATTACATGCAACACACCATATGCATTCAAATAAAACAAATATAGCGTCCCGTAAGGGATGACTTACTGATGTAGGGAGTGAATTTATGACTGTGAAAATTGAATTGTGAGTGATTTATTTAATAAATATTTGATTTATAAGATTAAAAAATGTTAATATGTGATTAATTAATTTAATAACTATATTTTAATAAAATATATACTATGAATATCATTTTGTAAATAATTAAATTTTATATAATACAACTAAATAAATATAAAATATTAATTTATAATTAACATAATATATTTTACATATAAATGGAAAGTTTTGAATATATATAAATATATTTATTTATTGAAAAACTATAAAAATAAACAAATGTAAATAAATTTTAAGTGAATCTAATACAAATATAATATTTTTTTTAAAAAAAAAAAAAAATAGTAGATACTTATTTTTCATACATACTTGTTTTTTATGCATACTCACCTATTAACCTTAACTTGTCTACATGGCTTAATAAAAAAGGCGAAAAGGCATAATTGAAGATTAGAAATAAAATACTATTAAAAACTAAATAGATATAAAGTTATAAAAAAAAAAAATTGAATTTTAGATAAGCTATTGTCAAACTCGACAATAGCTTACCTTCGAACATTGGTGCTCTTCCTCTCAAAGAAACGGTTAATAAATGAAAATTTCTTCTCTACTCTATCGGGAATGGACTGACCTTTACATTGTAGCCCCATAACAATTGAAAATCTATTCTCCAAAAACGGAATATAAGCAACTTCACCAATATAAAATCCGTTATATTCAAAATTATAATAATCTACGTATGCCTTCATGCGTTTCCAACAACCGTAACCGAAAGGCATTTTCAAAAAATGTCCGAATAGGATCGAGGCAATTGCAGTTCGATGATCATGTGTCATTAATGGCTCCAATTCGGACATATCGACATGAGATTATAATGTTATTGCTATCTTTTTTTTCCGATAGATTTCCTAAAAAAATATGAAATATGTATTCTACAAATTGAGTACATTTACTTCGAAAAAAAAAAAAAAACCAATCTATTCTATTCAACCAACCAACAAACAACCGATAATATTTTCAACAATTTCAAGAATAGCTAAACCAAATAACTAAAATATAGACATATAGAATATAACAAAAAAGCCAAATAATACTAAAATATAAGAGTAACATAAGAACATTACGGCGGAGAACAATACAAAATTTAAAACACACTTACTTTTGACCGAGAGCTATTGTTGGGGAATGATCCAGCGGACAGTGACAGACGGTGGGCGGTGACCAAGGATGGTCTAGCGGACGATGATAGCCAGCAGGCGGAGACGGTGCGACGGGTGGGTTCGATCGAAGGTGAGGTAGCACGGTTCCGTGGAAGTACAAACTTGGCTAGGGTTGAGGACAAAAAATAGAAGCATAGGTGGTTGTGATTTTTGAAATGGATTTGGTATTTTTGTAAATTTGTAAACAATAGAGGGGCGAAAGACATATTTCATAATTAAAAGTAATTTGAATATATGTTTATGGAGTTTTAGGAAAAGATAAAAAGAGTGGAGAGTTTAAATAAACTTTTGAGCAGTTTTTGGGATTTATCCATAATTTATCGACAATTTAAAATAAAATATTATTTTTTGTATTATCGATATAAATTTGCATACATAACAAAAAATTAAAAAAAAAATAATAAAAAAAGAACATTTCAAACTAAACCACTAAACCACCAAATTTTTGATTCTCTAAAATAATCATTTGATTTAATATTTTATAAAAAACAAAATTAATACTCCCTCCGACCGTGAAAAAAAGTACCGTTTATTTTGTGTAGGCAGACTTTCAATACTAATATTATTAATTTGTATTAAAAAAAATAAAAATACTTTACTGTGTAATATAAAAATAATATCATTTGTATAATATATTGTAAATTATAATAATATTTATTATGTTAAGTTGACAGTACAGTTATAAATTGAAAAAACAAAACTTTTATTTTGGAACAAGCATAAATAAAAAATAATATCACTCTTATCAAACGAAAACAATCATCTTAATCTATTTATCATTTTTTTTTAAAAAAAAATGTAATTATATATTTTAATCACATTTTAAAATTCATAATTTATAATTTTTTTTTATTTTAGTTAAACTATTTAGTCATTTTAATCTTAATCTATAATTGTTTTTCTTAAATCTTAACTATTTTTACTAATATACATTTTAATTATTTACTAATTACATAATACTTAAAATTGTGTCTAACCTAAATGGGACAAAATAGTTGGGACAAAAGGAGTAATATATATTTTATCTACTTAATAAAAATTAACAATTGAATATATAATATTAATTTTTATATTATATACACAACCTAACATAAAAAATACATTTTACTAAGAAACACGTGAGTGTATTCTTTTTGTAAAAAATATCAAATATATTTTCTTAAAAATTAATATATATTACACACATTTATATTTTTAAATTACTTACCTAATTCGCTATACCTCACATAAAAATTCTTCCGTTCAAACAAAAATTCAAAACAAACAAACCCAAGTGAACACATCTAACTGTATCTAATATACTCCCCTCCTCCCGTATTTATATATTTATTTAGTTTTTGTACGTAATTTTAAAAATATTAATATTATATTAGAATGTAGTAGAAATAAAGATAAAAAGACTAAATTGTCCTTATTAGTATTGTATGATATAAAGGTAATGATGTAATATATATTGTAAATTAGAAGGGTATTTATAATGTTAGTAGATAGTAAAGTTACTAAAAAATAAATAGATACTTTGTTATGAGACGGACGAAAATGAAAAAATAGATAGATTGTTAAGGAACGAAATGAGTAGTATATATCTATTTTTCGGGTAACATTTTTTTGGGATTGATGTAAGAATAAAACTATTTGAACGAACTCTAAAATGCTTTAGAGTGTCTTTTCTTTTTGTTAAACATATATTCCTTCCTTCACCTTTAATTTATTAATTATTTTTATTTTTGTCCGTTTCACATAATATATAATTTTTTTAAAATATATTTATATATTTTAATTATATTTTAAAATTTATAATTTATAGTTATTTTTATTTTAATTAAAATATTTAGTCATTTTAATCTTAATTTAAAATTATTTTTTATTAAATTATAATTATTTATACTAATATACTTTTTAATTACTCACTAATTACACTATACCTAAAATTTCATGTCTAATCTAAGTATGACAAATTAGCCTAAACGGAGAGAGTATTTCCCTAAAAATATATTTTTTTTAAAAAAAAAATTTAATATATTACGTACATTTATTATTTATACTTAATAAAGGAAGCTAAGCTATTGTACTTCATCCGTTTCAAACAAGGTGCAACATTTGTTTTTTTGTACAAGTTTTAGGTGGATAGTATTAAGTAGGACGATTTAGAAATTAGGTTATGTGATAGAGAGAGATATATATTTTATTTTTTATTTAGATGATGTGAGGGATAAAATATGGAGTAAATATTAAGTATAATTAATTACTTTCTATTTTAAAAATATTGCAAAGTATTTGAGATATAAAAAAAAAATATTATAGGGAATTTAGGACGAAGGGAATACAATTTAATAGTAAAGATGAAAATAAATAAAACTGCACATATGTCCTATAAATTCAATTTACACAGGAAACCTCGACACACATTCAATTGACCCACCCACACACCCACCCCCAATTCCTCGATCAAATCTCAGCCATGCCGACGGCCAAACACGCTGCCGTCCTCCTCGCCGCAATCTTCATCGCCGCGGCGGCGCAACCGTCGCCAGCTCCTTCGAAGCCGCGCCGTCCAGCCGCAGCAGCACCTCCGACTGCGGCGGCGCCGGCGCCGGCGCCGGGACTGGACTGCACGATGTACCTGACAAATATGATCGATTGCCTGAGCTACGTGGAGAACGGAAGCAACACGAGCCGGCCAGAGAAGGCGTGCTGTACGGAATTGGCGAATCTTGTGAACACGCAGCCGATCTGCCTCTGCGAACTCTTAGGGCACTCTGATCGGGTGCCCTTCCCCATTGATATCAACAGAGCTCTTAAATTGCCGTCTCTTTGTAAAGTCTCCACCCCTCCGGTTACCTTGTGTGCGGGTACGTCCAATTACTCCTTACTTTTTTTTGTTTTTTTTTTTTTTTTTTTTTTCTAAATTGCATAAAATTCACCACGAAATTGAAAACTCCCTAGCGTCTAATCTCTAGGCAGTTCTTATTTAACAGACTTAAATGCTCAAAGTGCTAATAAATCTAAAATTATAAATATATTTATTTTTTTATATTTAGCTTAAAAAAATAAAAAATATATTAAAAATAGTAATTTTTTTCAGATTTTAAGAGTTTAATTTTATTTTTATTTTTTTAGGCTAAATATAAAAAATATATATATTCATAATTTTAAGTATTTAAAAATTAAGATTGTAAAATTTATTCGCAATTTGAGCGCGCATTTAAATCAAATATTCTTAAATAAGAATCACCGAGGAGGTTAGACACATACTTTATGAAACTACGAGAGAATTTAACGCAGTTTTATACGTATAAAAAATTTGACGCAATTTTGTAAAATCACAAATAATTTTGTGCCATTTAATTTTTTTTATTTTTTATTTTTTATTTTTTGTTTTACATTCGGGGCAATAGTGAAGATGGTAGTTGTATTTATTTTATTTATCTTTTAGTTTAAATTTTTAGTCTAATTTGAATGTAATTTTTTTACCAAAGTAAACAAATGTAGTTTTACAGAAAATTCTAAGAATTGAATACTGAAAATAATTGTTTGAGTGATGAAACTATAAAGTTTGTTTTGTTTTTAGTTGAGATTGGAGTTTTTATTTAAATCTCTGTTTAAATTATAGAATTATATAATATTATGTAAAAAATATATATATTATATATTTTTTAAAATATTATACAAGTTGAATAACATTGATTTAAATTTGAAATTAAAAACACATGGCCCATTTTATTTGACATTACAAAATTAAATTTTACTGCAAAATATTATTTTTTATATTATATGACTATGCAACTCTTTAAAAATATAGTTTATCCGTCTCATAGTTTTGTATATTTTAGGATTTGTTCAGTTTTTTTATTTAAATAATATTTTAATTATATTTTGTAACTAAAATATATATTTTTCTTTATTTAAAATCGTACAAATTAAATAGTGTTTGTTTGTTTAAAACACAAATCAAACACACCATTTGATTTTTGACCCAGTTTTTTTTAAGTAATACTCCCTCCGACTACATACTAACGTTCTACTTTTCTGTTTGAAATGTTCAACAATTATTGTCTTCTTTTTATTTTTATACACAAAATTTACTTTTTTACCTTTATTTTATTTACTCTTTCATTTTCTATATACAAGATTAAGGGCAAATTTGTCATTTTATAATAAAAATCTTAATTGCCTAAAAATACGTGTAATATCAAATAGGACATTAAAAAATGGACGAATGGAGTATAACTTTAAGTATTTTCATTATCAAATAGGACATTAGAAAATGGACGAATGGAGTATAACTTTAAGTATTTTCATTCGGTCAAAATTTAAATATAAATAATAAAAATTATAAATATTTTAAAATATTTATATTAAAAATATATAATTGCAAATTTGGTTTCCATAGATACTACATTCAGTAAATATTTCACAAAATAAAATAAGAAAGAATTAAAATCAACCTTATATATAAACTATTTATTAAATATTTTTGTATTCAAAATAAAATAAAGCATAATTATGTTTTTTAGCATTTATTTACAGTCTAAATTATTAGTAAAACAAATAACTATTTTACACCTATATACCTTTAAAATGTAAAAACTATTTTACCCTATGATAAAAAAAATAAAAAATAAATAAATAATTATTATTATGAAGTATTGATGTAAATAAGTATAAATGTAGGGTATTTGTATTATATAATAGGATCCATACTTAAAAAATAATAATAATAAATAAATAAATAAATAATTGATATTTTTTGTTTGCATAAAAAAAATAACAAAATATATACTTACCAAATGGACACGGGAGTATTAAAATTTACATTTTCAAAGATTGAGAGATTAAATGATAATTTACCTGAGATCTTTATTAACATCTCCAATATAGGTAAATCATAATTAACTTATAAATAGTAATAACATAACAAAAAATTATATATAAATTAAGTATATAATAAAAACCAAATATTTATGTCAAATTTAAATCTACTTATATAAATTAAATTAATTATTAAACTAAATCAAATCATCTAAACAGAATTAATTAAAATATATACTTAATTATAAAATAAATTCGATTAAATTTATTTAGAAGTATTTTAAAATACGTTTGAATTAAATTAATGTGATTTGTTTTAGATAACAGTAAGTATTTATTAAAATCAAAATTAAAAAAATAATAATTTTATATACAAATATAACAATAGATATAGTAAAATTTATATAATGTTATAAAAATTTAATAAAATGTTAAAAAAATGTATAATAGATAAAATTGTTTAATAAAATCTCTCCCCTTCAAATTCCCCAAATTGGAGGGGAATAAAAATTTAAACACATTAAATTCACTTCCCTTTCCCTCTCAAAAAATTTGAACCAAATACAAAAAATATTAAAATTTCATCCATTTCCCTCCTCTCTCCTCCCCTCGAACCAAACAGATATTTTTTTTTTCTTTTTTATGTAAGATATATGAAATCGTATTGATAATATAAAAAATAATATTTTACACTGAATATTGAACTTTTGTGAAAAAATATATTATATATTATATATATTGAGAATTGTATTTACTAAAAATAATTAGGCAAACAAATCCTAATATATATTGGATTTAAAGAATTAAAGAAAAAATATTTTTTTTTCATAATAACAATAATTGTTAGCTACTTCTATTAAAGATTGTACAAACTAAATAGCAATATTTTGATTTCAAACACAACCAAATTTTTGTGTTACTTATTCAGTATTTATTTGCAAACGGTATATACTGCTAAAGCAAATAATAATAAAATACATCTTCGTTCACAAATTAATGTCCTACTTTTCTACTTGAGACGTTCAACAACTATTGTCCTTTTTTTTTTAAACACAAATTTTATATTTTCTCTTTATTTATTTATTACTTTTAATCGAGACCGTACAATTAAAGGCAAATTTGTCAATTCATAACAAAAAGACAATCACCTAAAAAACTGTGCAAATATACTTTAAAATAATAGAAATTAAATGGAGGAGGTAGCAGTAACACCAGCAGCCACCAGCAGCAGTAGTAATAACAAGCATTTCTTTCATTTAATGTTGTACTCCCTCTAATAATTGTATATGTAACGGTACGTAATTTAAGTAAAAGTTAAGGGTATTTTGGTATTAGTGTATAATTATTTTTTAAAATAGAAATAGATACTTTGAAGTGGAATAGATAAAAATGATTGAAATAGTATTTGAATTAGGAAAGTATATAGTCCCTCTGTCCCAGAACTATAGTCCGGTTTGTGTTTAGCACGAGATTTAAGAAATATTGATATTATATTGGTAGTGGGTAAAAAGTACGGATAAAAGACTTTTTTGCCTTTGTGAGTGCATTAATGTAAAAAGCAGTGACAATTGTGTAATAATAATAAAAAAATAATTATAATTTTATAGTGATATAGTTATTTATGAAAATAAGACTATTGTTTTGAAACAGACAAAAATTGTAGAATCGGTATTTGAATTATGACGGGGAGTAGTACATTTTGAAGTATGTGTGGTGCTTCAATTATTTTGAAAATAATAGAAAGTATATAATTAATAGTATGATATTTTAAATAATCATAGATTAAATTTTAGAAATATAATTGTCTATGATTTGGTTAAGTATAGTTTTTTTTTACAGTAAAAATATATTCATAGGATATTTCGTGAGATAAAATAATTTTTAAATATAAGTAAATATAGCATGTTTGTTCATCCAGCTATTTTTTTATGACAGAATTTTCAATAAATATTAGTATAAAATATAACATATATATATAAAATAACTAAATATTTTATCCACTCATAAATAAAAAAATAATAATTTAATACAAAATATAATTCTTTATATTTTTATACTTGATATGAAGAAAAAAATATATTCATAAATATAAAATAACCACACTATTTATATAGTTTATAAGAGCATCTCCAACCATGCTCCATATCTGGCGTTTCAATACCATTTTTGCAGCCGAGCTGTTTCAATCCAGCGTCATTCTCAACACCAAATTTAGAGTTTGCTACAGTACAACACCATTTTTGTTTAAAATTTTGGTGTTGCATTGTAGCAAATGTTTTTTTAAAAAAAAATTATAAATTTAATTTTTTAAAATTTTTTAAAATTTTATTTTAAATTATAAAAATAAAAAGTTGTTTGAAATAATAGGAAAAATTGAATATTTGAAGAATAATAGTAAAAAATGGAGTTATGGTTGAAGTAAAATTACTGTAGCAACTGCATATTTGAAGTTAAAACTGGATAAATTAAAATAATGTGTTGAAGATGGCCTAAATATATTTGTTTTGTGTGAAACAGCCATAGGTATTCCAGTTGCAGCTCCTGGTCCAAATGGAGCCCCTGCTGCAGGTAACTTCTATTTTCTTCTCAATAATAATAATAATAATAATAATAATAATAATAATACTCTTTCCGTTCTATCTTTTTTGTTTAAGGATAAAATTTTAGATAAAGTATAATTTGTAAGTAATAAAAAAATATATTTTAATAAAAAATAATTATTCTATAATACAATTAATTATAAATTATGGTGTGTTTTTTTATGAGTTTGAAAAAAAATTAATTTGGATTTGATATGAAAATAATATTTGATTGAATGTTTTATGAGTATTTTATTTTTAAAAGAAACACAGGGTCCAAATAATAAAATTTAAGAAAACTTTGCAAAACAAACATACCCTAAGATAACTAAATAGTGTAATTAAAATTAAAAAAATTATAAATTCTGAAATTAAAATATGATTAAAGTGTATCATTATATTTCTTAGAAAAAAAAACAAATAAAGTGAGACAAGGAAGATGGATGAAAAATGTATGAAAGAGGAAGTAATACATTATATTATGCTCTTCTACTTCTCCTATCCAAATACCTGCAATATTTTCTATTATATTATATTTCATATATTCTGCAATATATTTAAAATAATAAATAAAAATAATTTTAGATTAAAATTAAGATTACTAAATAGTTTAATTAAAATTAAAAAAAATTATAAATTATGAATTTAAAAATATGATTAAAACATATAATTGTATTTTAAAAAAAGAAATAACAAATTACGTGGGACAAATAAAAATAAAAATAATAGACAAATTAAATGAGACAGAGAGAGTAATTGATATATTATCTTATTACAAATAAAAACAAATATATACATGTATATTCCTTTCTCATTATTCAATTTATTTTCAAATAGTGTGGAACGAAAGGAAATACTATAATTTAGTCAAACGCTATTTTTCTCCTTTACGATAAAAAATTGCATGAAAGTTATCTATAGATTATATAAAAATAATAATAATAATAAGAAAGAGAAAAGAAAAAAAAAAGAAGAAAATGAGTGTGTTTTTTTTTTTTTTATGAGTTTGGAAAAAATTTAATTTGAATTTAGTATAAAAATAATATTTGATGGGATACTTTGTGATCGAAAAAAATATATTTTTTTCGAAAAATACAAAGTCAAATAATAAAATTTGAAAAAATATTGCTAAAGAAAGATACACAGGATTGCAGTTGAAATTGCATTTGCATATTTAGTTAAACATTACCATCAATTTCAGCTATAGTATTGACAAATTAACATAAGAATATAAATATAGTACTCTCTCTCTCTCATTCAAATCTATGTTCATTTTTTTTTTTTTAATTATAATCGAAAACTATTTTCGTTTTTTTTTTAAGTAAAAAATTATTACACTTTTGTATTTTTTTACTATAAAAGAAAAAAATAACAATTATTATTCACTTTTATTAAAACTCGTACCCAGTCAAGTGAATACACATTTGCACGACGAAGGGAAGGGAGTAATGAGTTTTGACATAATTTTCTATATAATTAATATAGTAATGAATAACTTTTGTTATAACTTCACGACATTCTTCTGGCATAGGTGTTCCATCTGGAGTTCTTAGTCCTGCTCCCGGTACGGTATTTGTTCATTTATTTTTTAGGACAATAGAAATTGAACGGAAAGAGTATTAATTATTGAATTTATATGTTATAATATATTATTACAACAAACCACAGGAAGCGGTAGTAGTGATGTTGTTCCCTCACCCAGCGTCACTGACTCTCTGTCAGATGGTACAGTTCACTTCTTGATTTTTTTTCTTTATCATAATAATTATTATTCATATTTTTTGAAAATAATAACAATAATATTTTATTATTAAAAATAAATAATATTTTTTTAATATATATATATATATATATTTTTAATTTACACAGGTTCATCTTCTCCTCAAGGTTCGGCTAGTGTCGCAGCTGCGGCGGTATCTAACTACAACAAACTGATTCATACCGTTGGAGGAGTATTATCGATTGCTTTTATTTATTATTATTATTATTATTAATGAATTCCAATATATCTAATTCATTATTATTATTATTATTATTATTATGGATTTTACTTTATCGTGTATTATTTTTTTAAGACAAAGGATTTGTAATTTGTCTGAATTTTTTCACTGGAAGTTGGAACTGATTCTTTCTTTCTTTCAATTTCTTCTAGAAAAGAATTAAGGGTGTCCTTGTACCTGGATTTTAGTTTTTTAGTTTACATTTTTAACACTAAAAAGTTAAATTTGAATAATTGTTTGATCTGATATAAATAGAGTTGATATGATATTTTTACGAATGTAAAGTAAATTTGTAATATATATAAAAAAAATAATTATTTGATGTAATATTTCTAGAGATAAAAAAAAAATAAAAATTCAATAGTAAAAACTACTGCTAAAACTCACAAAAAAAAATACAACCTAAGGGTTTGTTTACAGCGGTTTTTGGAGATTTTTGAAATTTTAAAAAAAATTTTAAAAAAAATAAAAAATTAGTATTTAATTTAATATTTTATAAAATATATATATATATTTGATGTAATATCTTTTAAAAAATAAATAATATGAAATGTCTACGCTTAATTTTTCTTTCATGAATCTTTAAATTCGACAGACAACAAACAACATTGTTCTTCAAAATAAAATTAAAAAACAAACAAACAGAGAGACACATAGTGTAGTGTGATAAAGAATGTATTTATCACACATATATATATATATATATATCAGCAAAACGATCTCCGGTCGGTGGTTTCTCTCACTCTGTCAGTCTCTTCGCCGGCGGGAACAGCGCCACCGCGCTCCGGCTGGGGCTGGCGTACTTCCGCCACACCGCCTTCAGCTTATTATTCTCCCCGCCGCCGCCATGGAAACTCGCCAGAACTCGAGCACATTCCCTGTAAATAAACAAAATATCAACACAACAAACCTTAAAAATTTGTCCGAATTCATTACATGCATTATTCCAAAATACATACACGAGTTGATCCTCGGAATATCCCGTATGATGCTCGAGCGTCCCGGTCCACTCCGGAGTCCGAGCAAGTGTGCACCGGGCAGCGTACACTGCCGCCGCCGCCAGCTCCGACGGCCGATAATTTGTCATCGCCGCATAATTCGTCAGCCCCATTTCCGCGAAAAAAAACGTCATATTCTCCATCTCTTTATCCACCGGGATCGAGGCCTTGATGTATCGGGCAAGAAAAACGTACGGCGTCGGCACCGTGAGGTACCAATCGAGTCTCCCCAAAATCGCCTTTTCCATAATCAACACTTGCTCCCGGACATAGGCGTCGTCGGAAATGGCGGTGAAGTCGCTCACTTCCGGCGCCCAAATTTCTTCGTATTTGCAGGCGATGAGCATCGAGCTGATTCCGACGAGCTGAAGTTCCCTCCTTGAGACCGTTTTTACGGAGAGGAAACGGTCGACTATGTTCACCGTCAGGTAGAGGGTCTCCGGCACAAGTTCGAATTTCTTGTGGACTTCTATTAGCCAGTCGACCAGAATGCCTCGCATTTTCGCGTTGATCTCCGGCTGCTGCGACGACATGTAGTCAGCCACTCGACCGTCGTCCTGTAAGAAAATTAACAGTTAGAAAGAAAGAATGACGAGTGCTAAGCAGATTCTTACATAACATATATCCATACCTCGGTGAGCTTATAGAAATTGTACATGTCCTCGACATATTCGACGGCGGCTAATTCGTTTCCGGCATCTTCTGCGTCGATGTCGGCCACAAGTTCATCCTTTGGCTTCTTGGCGATCCCACAGGCAGCCTGAAAAAGGATTCGATTTTGAAATCAATCAAGATCCAACGGTCGATCATTTTTTAGTATGATAGACGAGAAAAGACAACCAACCTTGCTGCGTGCGGAAAGAATCGAGGTGAGGCTTTTTTTGTTATGCTTCTTTGGCTTCAGGACTTCCTTCTTCTTCTCAGGTACGCCGGCGGCGCCGGCGGCTTTTCCGGCCAAGATGGCGGTTGCGTTCTCTGCCCCGGCCGGTTTCTTGAAGTTGTTGTTCTTATCAGCAGCTTGAGCATTGGCCAGCAACTGCGCGCCAAAGCTCCTCGTGACGGGGCGATTGATTTGGGGCTTCGTCTCTACGGCGGCAGCGCCGCCGCCTACTAAGTTACCGATGTCTCCCAGGGCTCGCCGGCTCCGCCCATCGGCGGCCGCCGGAGCATTCTTCAACTTCCCTGAAATTGGAAATCACATCACCAAAAATTCCTTCCAAGAAATTAAATCCGATCCACTTTTCAAATAGAATAATCATCACAGAAATCAATTAATCGAACTCTTTCATTTTACCCTAAAACCCCAAATCCAAATCCATCATCGCTTCTCAAATAGAATCATCCAACTCAGAAATCATCAAGTCCTCATTCACAACAAACACAAACTTTCGAAAATCAATCGATCAATTTTACCCCTAGGTTGTTGTTGCTCTTGAACCACAGCAGCTCTGGACGCCATCCCCAAATCGAATTCCGAATCACCCCTTCTTTTTCCCTTCGTTCGCTACTCCTAAGAAATCACAGAGAAAAACCTTTCCTCTGTGTCTCTGTAGAACTTCCTCCAAGAATCTCGAAACTTTGTTTTTTTAACAGAAAGCAATAGTGGGGAGAAATAAACAATGGCGAAGAGTTGTATATAACGAAGGGGTTTGAGTGGAGGGACGCCTCTAACACTAACGGTTATATTTTCCAGAAATGAATTATGTCCGTTGGATTGGAAGTGGATGGACGATCCAGATGGGTTTATTCTTTTATAGAGCTCTGTAATCTTGGACTAGCCGTTGGAATGGAATCGGAGCCTTCAATTCTTACCTTTAATTTATTATTACCTAATTCGATTTGCCACTTTTTAATTAATTTGCTTTTTTTTTTTTTCTTTATGGATTTTATTTTTCTATGTAAACGTGATTTTAATTTATATTGAATAAAAAATTATGAAACTTATTAAATTAATAATAATAAATATAAATAAATTGTAGGGTGTATATGATTTTGTGTTTTAATTTCTAGTTTCGATAATAGGTGTATAATATTTTGAGAAAATAATAATAATAATAATAATAATAATAATAATTTTTTTATAAAGTACTTACTACACAATAAAACAATTTAAAAATATAAAAGGAATAAAATTATATTTTTTTATTTACAATATAATTTATCAAGTGTAATTATATGTTTTATTTTAGAACAATTTTATGTTTTTATTTTAGAATCGGGTATGTATTACGTGATAATCTTTTCAGCTTCTTTGGTATATAATTTTCTAGATTTTTATAATAAAAATAATAAATCCTCAAGTAATCACATCTAATATTTGCAAAACAAAAATCACAAATATTTTTTGTGATTATTTAAAATAGCTACATAAATTACAAAAATATTCATACTATTATATTTCATGATTTTTGTCGCAAACAAATGCTCATAAATGTGGTTTATCACACACAATGTCACTAAATTTTTCCGTGATTAAATTGAATTGTTGTACAAATAAAAAAAATATATATTTACAACATTTTATCTTGTTATAAATATTATCATAATATATATATATATTAGTTTACGAAGTCACCGCATAAATAATGAAAATATCATCAAATCTTTCATTTTCATAGAATATTTTTTTACGACCATTCAAAATCCCGGCATAAATAATAAATTTTTTACAATTTGTTGATTTCTACCGGTGGGTTTGGGCTTCAACAATGTGAATTAAATACACAAATTTAAAAGGTAATTAGACCTAATTAATTTTATTTTTTTTTGCTTGATCAACATAGAAAACTTTGTCTAATGAGCGTAATATTTTTATCGAAAGTAGGGGACGTCTATATAAATGTATGGCGGAGATCGATTTTTTACGGTCCTATTTTCAGATAAAAATTTGGAAATAGGACAGCTTGTTTGGTTCTGTTTTATTCAATTTTCTTATTTTTTTATGAGATCGAAATTTCGGTGACTTCTTATTGTTTAGGTCATACCACAAGTAATCACATCCAAATTCTCCAATTTATATATTATAAGACACAGAAAAAGTCACAAAAATTATTTTTTGTGATTATTTAAAGGAGCGGCATAAATAATTAAAATATTCGTAATATTATATGTCATGATTTTTGTTGCAAACAAATGCCATAAATATGATTTATCACACACACTGTCACATAATCTTTATGTGACTAAATTAAATTGCTGTACCCATACAAAAAAAATATTTGTAATATTTTATCTTGTTATAAATATTATCACAATATATTTTCCGTAACTCCATCAACTTTTTTTATTTTCATAAAATATTTTTTCACGACAGTTCAAAATCCCTGCATAAATAATAAAATTTTCACAATATGTTGATTTCACACACATATATATATTTCAATTAATTCTTTTTGTAGATATTTATTTTAATTCACACAAATGAATATAAAGAAAATGTATAATTAGTTATAGCCATCATATAAGTTATACAAAAGATGTAAAGATACTCCATTTTGTTTGTTAAATATAATTAAGTAAAAGAAAAAAAAAAAGGATCGAATTCAGGTCATAATAATAATAATAATAATAATAATAATAATAATAATAATAATAATAATAATAATAATAAGTAGATAGATAGAGATATATAAATAATAATAAAAAATAAATAAATAATTGATAAATTCCAATAAAAATTGAAATATAATTAGTAAATAATTAAAAATATATTAGTAAAAATAATTATCGTATAATAAAAATAATTTTATATTAAGATTAAAATAAGTAAGTAGTCCAATTTAAAATTAAAAAAAAAATTATGAATTAAAAAATATAAAATAAGATTAAAGTGAATAATTTTTTTTATAAAAATAATAGAATAAGTGTGACTTACGAAAATAGAAAGATGAACAGAAAGAGGGAATATCAATTTATGCAGCGGCTAAGGTACTACCGGTCAATCACCGTCATACCGAATAAATTTTATTATTTAATTCGTTATATGATATATTTAATAATTTAGATTTTATAAGGATCATTTAGTAATATTTAATACATTTATCACCGTATAATGCTAGATGATTTTTAACAATGTGAGATTTATATTTATATATCATGCTAATTGAATATAAATTATGTGTTATTTGTATAAGTATTAGATTGTCTAAATATATTTTAAATTATTTTAATCATATAGTGTTAAATGAATGTTAATTATATGATGTTTGTATTTGTGTGTTTTATTAATTGAATATAAATTATGTAATATTTGTATATAAGTATAAGGTTATCTAACTATTCTAAGTTATTTTCAACCTATTATATCAAATGAATATTAATTATGTGATATTTTTATTTATATGTCCTAATAAAAAATAAAATGTATTATTTGTAAATAAGTATAAGATTGTCTAAATTATTTTCATCATATAATTTTAAATGAACGTTGATTATGTGATATTTGTATTTATAAGTCATGTTAATTGAATATAAATTATGCTATTTGTATATGTGATGTTTGGATTTATGAGTCTTGCAAACTGAATATAAAATATATGTTATTTGTATATAAGTATAAGGTTGTCTAAATATGTTTGGGTAAACTATTTTTTTTAGTCTCGTAACTGAACTCTCTTATCATTTTAGTCTTGTAAGTGGAGTCTGTCGCAAACTAGTCTCATAAGTGAAAAGTTTTCGTTGTTTTAGTCATCCGGCGCCGGAGATGCCCGCGTGGCTCGCCGGAGGTGACGTGTCCGCCAAGTGTCGCTGATCTGGCGGACATGTGGATTTTTTTTTTCATTTTTTTAAATTTTTTAAAACTTATTTTTAATTTATTTTAAATTTTATTTGTATTTTTTTAATTTTTTTTATTTGATCCAATTAAAAAAATTTAAAAAATTAAAAATAAAAAAATAAATCCACGTGTCCGCCAGGTGTCGCGACCTGGACACGTCACCTCCGGCGAGCCACGCGGACGTCTTCGGCGCCGGATGACTAAAACAGCGAAAATTTTTCACTTATAGGACTAGTTTGCGACAGGCTCCACTTACAAAACTAAAATGATAAAGGAGTCCAGTTACCGGACTAAAAGAAATAGTTTATCCAATATATTTTAAGCTATTTGTACTATATAGTGTTAAATGAACGTTAACTATATGATGTTTATATTTATAAGCTATGCTAATTGAATATAAAATATGTGCTATTTGTATATAAGTATAAGTTTGTCTAAATATATTTTAAGCTATTTATACTATATAGTGTTAAATGAACGTTAACTATATGATATGTTCATATTTATAAGTCATGCTAATTGAATATAAAATATGTGCTATTTGAATCTATATGATTAAATTGTCTAATTGTTCTAGGTTAGTTTACAAATCAATACTGAATAATTGTTAACTATGTAATATGTATATTTATATATGTTATTAAATATATATATTTATGTAAGATATTAATAATTTTATGTGTTTACGGAATATGTACTCCTTCCGTCTGTTTCTAAGGGTCATATTTATCTTTTATGTCATTATATTTAATATTAAAAATATTCTTATATTTGTGCGCACTTTCGGGTAGCGGCTGCAGGGTCCCACGTCAAAAAAATAATAATAATAAAAAATAAAAAATTCTTATATTTGTATAATTTTTGTACATATATCTTTCTATTAGTATTATAAGAGACTAATAAAAGTATTTTTGCAATTTTTTCTTAATTTATACTACGTTTTGATATAATAATTAATATTCAAAGATCAAACGCGCAAAAAGTAAATGAGACCCTTAGAGCCGGACGGAGGTAGTAAATTTTACTTCCTTCGTCCGTCAAATTTATTCTCACTTTCATTTTTAGTCCGTCCACTAAATTTATCTCATTACTAAATTTGGCAAAGTCAACAAATCAATATTTAATTATTACCCTCCATTCAACACTTGTTTACAACAAATACCACTAACTTTATTACATTCTCTCTTTCAATTTACTTTACTTTTTTATTAAATTTTCAAAAATATTTACTTTACTTTACTTTACTTTTTCAATAAAATAATTATTTTTTAAAATTTCTTGTGTCAAATCCAAATGAACTAATTTTAATGGACAGAGGGAATAATATTTTAAATCTTAATCGAAGGGGAGCCAAGAACAATTTAATCTTAATCTTAATATTTTCGCATTCTTGTTTTTGATTCGTCCATATTTGTGCATAGTGGATTTTGATGATTTCATAAATTTTATTTATCCTCACTATTTTATACATACATACGTATTGAACCAATAAATTATTTTTTTTATATTAAAATTATGTTATTATTTGATTTTTGGTTGTCCAGTAAATTTATGACAATTTATTTTCGATAAATAATTTTATCCACTTATAATTTTTTTATTACTCATATTGTTATTTTAATTTTAAGATCAACAAACTTGCTAGTACAAAAAACATTCAAATTTAAAAGAAAACTTGAATGATCTTGTATATATCAAAAGTAAAAGTATTCAAACTCAATTTACGCAAAGTATATAAACCAAAACCAACTATCGCATACAACCTAAATTCAAACCACAACCAAATATACGGAAACGCAACAAACAAGTGAATCGAACCTCAATCTAAGGAAACATCAACAATTTATGCTTAATTTCATCGTAGACAAGTAAATACACCACAAAATACAAATAAAGCATTAATCGACAAACCAAACCGAAGAACAGCCTCGGAACAGGCTGAACATAGAAGGGGAAAACAATTTCTCCAAGATCACCGGACAGAACCACCGGAAAGTGACGAGAAGATCGACTGGAATCGCGTCGGCCAAAGATGGTTTCTTGTGAGAGAAAATGTATTGAACAGAATGAGTGAATGAACTGCGGTAGTCTACCAAAAGTAAGCAATATCATATCAGGGGGCCGGTCCAACGGTCCAGACAAAAACCCTCAATCCAACGGCTGGCAGTGAGTCTTGGATAAGACCGGGTCGGGTCGAGGTTACTGAATCCGGGTTTCAGGTGTCGGATCGGGTTGTGAGCTGTGCTGGGCCTTATTAATTCATTGGCCCAAAATTTCACAAATCTCAACTTTTTTGGGCATGGAAAATGTGCTTAACCGGATGTCATCATTGTTTGAGCAACCAATGCTTTCAGTCTTTTAACCTGAGGACTTATAAACACGATTATAATTCACAAATTTTAACCATCATACGAAAAACATCAACTTTTAAAGCAATAAAGAGAAACAGTGGAGAAAATAGTGCAATTTAAAAAAAATAATTAAATTACAGTTTTTTACAGTACAAAAAACACTTCTAATCAGAAGTGTCAATATACACTATTTTCTTAATCAAGTTGAATTTCATAATTGACAAAACTTTTGTTCCCATGTCCACAGGGTTGTATTCGACATACATTTTTTCAAGTTTCAAAAGACCTTTAGACATAACATCACAAATAAAGTAAAACCTAACATATATATATTTGGTACGATCATGAAAAACTGAATTTTTACACATTTGGATACTAGATTGGCTATCCGAAAAAAATAGTAACATCATCATGCAAATAACTAATTTCATTTAACAGGCTCTTTAACCTCCAAGCTTCCTTTAACATTTATGTTATAGCCACATGTTCAGATTCAGTAGTAAAAATCTCTATCATTTGCATAATTGAAATACACATACCCATTTAGTTTAATCTCACTAATATGTTTACCAAAGACTAAACCAACATCAATTGTACCAATCAAATACCTAAACATACATTCTAAATCATTTCAATGTTCCACACTAGGATTAGTCATATAACAACTCAAACAACTAATAGCATAAACTAAATTAGGTCCAGTACACACCATCAAATACATAGTAGAACCTCTAGCATTAGAGTATGGGCCATTCTTCATGTATTTTACATTATTATCATATTTTGAACATTTTTCTTTTGACAAAATCAAATAAAATGCAAGAGGGACTAATGAGAATTTTGCATCACACATAGAAAATTTCTTCAGTGTTTTCTTAACATATGAGGATTGATTTTTAGAAAAGCACATTATCTTTCTTATTTGTCACTATATTCATGCCAATAATTGTTTTTTCATCCCCTAAATATTTTATATCAAATTTATTACTTAAACAATTTTTCACATAATTTGTTGTTTCCAAACTATGATTTATTAACAACATATCATCAACGTATAACAACAAGAAGATGAGATGTATACATGTTATTTTAGAATACAGACAATGGTCAAATTTACTTCTAATGAATTACAAATATTTCATGCAATCATCAAATTTTATATTTCATTATCTAAGGGGCTGCTTTAATTTATATAATGATTTCTTTAAAAGACAAACATGTTTGGTTTTATTTTTATCAACGTAACCCTCCGGTTGTTTCATATATATCTTTTCGTACAAATCACCATGTAAAACAATTATTTTTACATCTAATTATTTCAGTTTCTAATTAAAATAAGCAACCAAAGCAAACATGAATCGTATAGTGGAATATTTAACAGTCATTTATAGTCTACAACAAAACAGTTTGACAATCTTGACACCAAAACCTATATTGTTATCCTTTGAAAATTTTATTTCTTCATACATTGTCTTAACTCATTCATCTTAATGTTATGATTTTATTGCCTCATATACCCCCTCTATTCGCCTCTAAGGATCACATTTACCTTTTGCGTCATTGTACTTAATATTAAAAATATCTTTATATTTCTATAATTTTTTATACAAAGTCCTTCTATTAGTATTATAAGATTTTAATGAAAGTCTTTTTGTAATTTTTTCTTAATTTGTACTACGTTTTATTTAATAATTAATATTAAAAAATCAACACGCAAAAAAATAAATAAAACCCTTAGATCCGAACGGAAGTAGTATAACTTTTATTCATTTTCATCTAATGATTCAAACACACTATAAGCAAATAAAAGTAACATCAAAATCATTTAGCCTAAGGTTGTCTAATATTTCGCTTAGCTCTATTCCTAAAAACTTGATAATTCTCTGGATTATGGGCATGAATTTTAGCATGTTCAGATTCTAAGTTTTCACTCAAGCTGTAAGACATCATGTGTGGAGAGGCATCTGTCCAGTATTAAAATCTGGATCAAAACTGGCTAATTCAGTATCAATCATATTGATCAAAATTAATTAAAATTGTTTATTAAGGAATTAAAATTGATGAATTTTTTTATATTGGAACTAAAATTAATAAATTTTAATTATATTACGAGCAAAATTGATTTTTTTACCATTTTTTAAAAACGTTTGAATTACAACAAATGGATGGAGTGTCAAAATATGTGAGATTCATGTAACCAAAAGAAACACTTCAAAAATAGAGTTACAAATGATGTGGATGGACAGAGAGAGACAGGAAACATTTACATACATAACATGAGGTGGGAGTTGGGATCTCCAGATTTGATCGCGGCCGTCCATTTTTGATCACATCACATGTCCTCCTCCTCTACAGTAGGTTCTCGACACTTGTCATGGCTCGTGAAATCCTGCTTCCCCAACCCTCACCAAACCCACAACCCTATCGCCGCCGCCGCCTCCGCCACCACCATCGCCTCCCTCCCCGACGATCTGCTACTCGAATGCCTCGCCAGAGTCTCTCCACCTACTCTCTTCGCTCTTCCCTCTGTCTGCCCACGCTGGGCGCATCTCATCAACTCCACCGCCTTTCACTCATTCCGCCGCCGCCACCACCTCCTCCTCCACACGCTCTTCGCCATTTCAATCTCCGATAACTTCACCTTACTCACTGCTGCCCTTCGATTAGATCAGGACGGTACTGGCGATCAATGGAAACTCTCCTCGTTTGTTCCGTCGAAGGAAATCGACGGAGGCGTAGGCTTGGATTTCGCTTTGTACTCGCATCCGCGATTGGCGTCCGTCGGCCGGAGAATATACATCATCGGCCGGACGGCGATGCTGCGGTGCGACACGTGGACGGGGAGCTTAGTCCCCAGGGCTGGGACGCTTTACCCTAGGAAGAAATTCGCCGTCGCCGTCGTGGAGGGGAAGATACTCGTCGCCGGCGGATGCGGTAGATCGTCGGCTGTTGAGGAGTACGATCCCGACGCGAACTCGTGGCGCGTGGTGTCGGAATCTCCTCGGCGAAGGTACGGATGCATTGGAGCTTCGGCCGACGGAGTTTTCTACATCATCGGAGGGCTTAAAATCGGGCAATCCGGCGACGACGATCAATCGTGTGCGGCGGCGCGTGCGTACGCGAGCTCAATGGATTTATACGACGTCGCATCCAAGCTGTGGCTCCGGAGCCGAGCCGTGCCGGCCGGCGGCTGCGTGGTAGCCGCCTGCGCCGCTAACGAAAGCGTGTACATCCTCTCGAGCCACGCCGTGGAGCTAAGTTTCTGGAAATTCAACGCCTCTCGAAGAAGCGACGGTTTCGGGGAATGGCGCAGGATAAGGAGCCCGCCGGTGCTGGCGCAGGTTAGGCTCGACGGCAAGGTGCGTTTCAGCTGCGTCGGATTTGGGGACAAGGTAGTGCTGGTGCAAGTCGTCGGCTGCATCGACGATTTGCTGCGGCGGAGCGGGCGTACGGAGAGGGGGCGGAAGGAGCGTCTGGTGTTGGTGTACGACGGCGCCGACGATGAGTGGAGCAGGGCGGCGGACATGGCGGAACTAATCCGACGCGCCGCCGTGGTCTGCGTGAAGTGCTAACGGTCGGTCGCCGGAGTCACGTGGCGCTGTTTGTTTGTCTGTCGCGTGATAATTACTCATGGAGCTTTGCATTGAGGAGAAAATGGTCAATTCATGGGAGGGTAATTTCGGTATTTTTATCTTTGTCCTTTTCTGTGATTGGCAACTAAAAGGCAAAAAATACATGTGCTATTTCAGTTGTTACATAATATTGTTGGCAATAATTCAGCTCCATTTGTCATTTTGTGTTTGATTGAAAAGCAAATACTTGACAAATTTGTGTTACAATCGAGTACAAAATTTGACTCTTGTGAATTGAAACAAGAGGCTTTTTCTTGGGAAGAATACAAAAGTTGTAGTCCATTTATAATTACAATGATTCGTGATTAGAGAGTGTAACAGTCCAATGAAACGATAAGGCGGGACCCACCGACAAATAGAGTTTACCTTCAATTATTTTTAGCCAAATTTTCATCAATTTTAATAGATTTTGAAAAAACATTTTATTAAATATTATTTTAATATTAAATTTAAATCAATTTTTTCTAAATTCAACAAAAAAAAACACACACTGATTATATATGTATATATATATTTCAGTTTTTTAGGGTTTCTATTTTAAATTGGAATTTAAATAGTAAAAATTTTGAATTTGAATAGTTATACGGTGTAATATAAATAGGTATTGATGTGATATTTTAAATGTTAAATTATTTTTTAATATAATACTATAAAATATAAAAAATAGATATTTGATTTAATATTTTTTGAAAAAAAAATTGAATGAATAGTGTATTTGTGTGAAAATGTGCCAAAACATACACTACCTAAGAAGATTATATTTAACAATTAAGTCTTCAATGACAAAACTACTCTTTCATTAAAAATATTAACATTCACTTTTCATTATAAATAAAATGCACTGCATATTCTGATTTTGTAAAATCTTTTGCAAACAATTCCCTATTTCTATTTTTTTATACAATACAAAATTATCACTCATCTTCTTTTTTTTTTCCTAATCTCTCTATCTTTTGTTGTATTTTTGGCATAAAATAAAATGATGTTATCTTCTAACCATTATTTTTTTTCACGACACATATTATCTCTGAAAAACTCTTTTACATACTAAAGATAGTGAACATAATATCAACCAAATCGTTCTTGAATGAAAGGAGCAAATATTTTTTAATTTAGTTAAATTTTCATAGCAACTGAGAATTTTCTAAATGAGTTCCTACGTTTGAATTATAATGTTATAGGTCAAAATATTTAAAAAGAGAAGTGTTTATCATATGTGAAAAACACTTAAACTACTAAGAATATATTATAACTAGTTCTTTGAGGTAAGTATTATATTTGTCTTGTGTTGCTTTATAAGAGCGAATTCAAATTGCATCAGTTGTTTAATAATCTCGTTGTAACGTGAATGTAACTTGAAAATAATTTTACTAACTTTTTTATGATTTCGTTTACCATCCACAATAATATATTGAATATTTATTATATATGATGGTGTTTTTTCATTGAATTCTTGTAAACATGTATTATTTGCATTTTAATATTATCTAGAAATAGATGAAAATACTATCATATTGAATTTATCTCAAATAATCACTAATAAAGGGGTATACAATATCCAAAATGATCAATTTTTCAAATAGAAGTTCCCCGAGCATAAGTACTTGTACATAGAGCATTTGCTATTATATTGTAGGTACATAACTAGCCAGTCATAATATAAGTATAGTGTATGTAGATACGTGAGTATATGTACCACGTATAAACACTAACAATAGTGGTGTATATATATCTAAGATATTACCCGTAAAGTACCAGATGTTCACGAATGTAATTGATTTCTTACAACGACGGCCAATCCTTTAAAAGAAATGGCATAAAAAAACTCGGTGAAAGCATATCTTATATTATCATGTTATAGCACAATGAAAAGTTCAATCAACTGTATATATATTCGACAAGTCATGCAACACATTCAATGGAAATGTGGTTGACATTGTAAAGTTATTCATATTTATCTTCTATCAGATATGAAAAGTTGGATGGTAATGAATACTAAATTTTTATTCCAGTGAGTGTGCATCACCGAAAGTTGAATTGTGGAACAACTATAAATCAATACGGACTTCATGTATGAGTACATTGACAAGACGTATAAGTGTACATATTTTAATTGGGGTTATTTTCATGAGTACTATGCAAGTGTATAAACTGTTACTAAAAGTAAATCGTGAGCATTCAATTATATTAACTCGAATTTATAAGCACTCATGCATAATTCTAACTATTTACAAAATCATTAAGAAATTCAATCCTAACAACCAATACAATTCCGAATAACATAATATCGATCATCAAGTTCACATACGAAAGTTACACACGAACAAAGATTACACAAATTGATGACATTTTCAAATTCAGGCAACATGTTTACCACGATAGATTCACTTGTTTTTTTAACTCTTCACCTGGGTGATATGATGGATTGAAGATTTTTTTGGCTATATTTTCTTCACTTCATCGGTAGTTGAGATAAATGATAGTGACTAGGAGTACGGAGAAAAATCTTCTTTAGGGGCCTTAGAAGTGCGTGGTAATTTTTTTTGCCTCACCCCCACAATAAAATGTGATGTAATTGTTATTTCTATTTTTCTTTTAGTTTTTAAATAACAAACAAAGGTACGCAGAAACTAAATAGAGGCATATCAATGAAATAATTCAGGTAGAACGGAAGGTAGTAAGGAATGACTTGCTGATGTAGTAATAGTCTCGTGACCGTGGGGTCATGGATTCAAACACCACGCCTCTAGGTCTTGCCTGCCTCAGGCTTAGTTTGCAGACTATTAGATTCGGGTGGAAGTTTACCAAGAGCGCACACGAAATGTAACGGTTGCATGTTTGCACGTTATAAAAAATAACTAACATAAATTTTTTTTAAAAATAAAATAGAATAATAGACGGTTCCACTGATACAGTAAAAGTTGCAAAAATAAATAAATAAAATGGAGAAAAGCTTTTAAAAAAAAAAAAAAAAGAAAAAATACCAACAAACGATTCCATAATACAATAAAAGCTTGGGAAAAGATAGAGGGTATAATTTTAATATTTCTTATTTATAATAATAATAATAAAAAAAAGGGACAATTCACAACAATATAGCAAAAACTGAAAAAGCAAAAACATGAAAACACTAACAAGCAATTCAATCAACATACCAAAATCTGTAATAATATAGTTTGAATAGATATTCAAGGTTGCAAGACAAATTGCAACAAAGTTCAAAATTTTAATTATAGCGAATACACAATATTCCAAATATCTCACCAACAAAACCTCATAAAAATATCACTAAACACTCATAAACACAAAACACAGATGATATATTGTTCACTTCGAAACCTATAGGTATGCCGTTTGTAGGGCACAAGGATAGTCTTCTTTTTCAAATGATATAGGCTATGATCAGTCCATTCTATTCCCAATGCGGAAAAAGAGGTTTTAAGGGATGAAATTTCTCAAATGCATTGTCAAGGGAACTTGGGTAAAGATAATTCTACCAACATCAAAGACCAAAATCTCTATGGTAGCAATTTAGACGATAAAGAGGACACTCTTTCGGGATCGAAAGAAGATCTTTCATAAGAAGATGCAGAGGACCAATCCAGTGATTCAACATAGATCTCAGAAGAAGATTTAAGATTCATGATGTATAAGAAAAAAAGATATCGTCAAAGATGGATTCAAAAAGTTTAGAGAAGAAAATAGATCAAAATGTGGGAAAAGGGCTTTGATAGATTCAAAAGAAAGAGTATGGGCGGCACAATTGGAGGAAGATTTTGAGTCGATTAAAGGTTTAATATTACAATAGGTTAATTGTGTTATTGAAGAATTGGAAAATGGTGTAGGGAAAGGTATTATTGATCATGATAGAAACAAGAAGGATATTAGTCTCTATGGGAATAATGTTGAAGATCACGAGAACAAAAATTTGGAGGTGGAGGCTCGAGAGATTGAAGCTAAGGAAACTTATAGGTTGGCATATCAACTACGTGTGAGGGCAATAGATATGGAGGAGTTTCTTCGGAATTGTTATAATGCCCTTCGGGAGGAAAGGGATCATAGGTAGGAGATACCGTGTCCTGAATGGGAGCTATTTTAAATAAATAGATAAAGTGTATTTTTTTTTAATTTTAGAGGTTCAGGGAAATGAGCAAAAAAATAAGCTATAGCCAGAATGGTAAAAAGATCAAAACCAGAAATTCTTCTCTTCCAAAAAATAAAAATTCAAGAATACAATGATAGATTGATAAAGAAAATAATGGGAAAGGTCGAAACTAAGTATTGTGGTGCCCTATTGGTCGGCGCAACATGAGGGATTCTTTACTGCTAGAATCTCTCTTCTATGAATATGGTGGAGGAGTTGATAGATTCACAATTTGTGTGGATAAAGGATTGTAGGTTGGAGAATATTAGAACGGTAAACATTGTTAATGTCTATGCACCCAATATTGTATCAGAACGGAAAGTTCTTTGGGGAAAAACTAAAAGAAGTGATTGGAGATAATAGCGAGTTAACAGACGTTTGTCACACGCTGCAAAATTTAAATAAAATAAGCATACTTCCACAATAAAAATAAACGTAGTATAGATTGAAGTAAGGTCGTCTACTCAAGGTATTAAAAATGTTTTATTTTCAGTTGTTTAATATAGAGATAATAAAATGTGGCTTTTCTGAAGTTGGAAATAAAAATAAAATAACAAACTAAAAATTTACGGCTAAAAGATAAATTCAATAAAAAATAAGCTTCCAGTCTAAAAATAAAATTGACAACTTAGATAGTGAATTTGATCACCGATAAATATTTAATTTTATTTTTTTCTAAATAAATTAGTTATAGTTACCAATATGCACCTAATAACCAACTCTTATTTGATTTCTCGACAGTCTAAATACGTCCGTCTTTTGTAAAGAACGAGATCAATGTGCTATTATGATATGTTACGGGTGTTAAAAACTGGTCACTTTTGGGTAAGGGCTTCAGTAGACTTAAGGGGGCATATTCAATTACAATTCTGTAGAATTTTGTTGGATTTTTGTGTTTTCAATCTAAACTTTTTAAAGTCTTTAAAATTTTGGTATATTCAATTCAGATTTTTTGAAGTCTTTTAAAATCTGAGTGTATTCAATATAGACTTTTATTTTTTTTAAAAAAATTCTGA